CCAGGACATCCATCTACTACTCAATCAAAGCAATCCACAATCATCTCTAGTACTTATCATTTGCACAACATCCATGCACATCATACATCCGCATTTTGACAAATTACTTCAGCTTCTTTTTACAGTAATCTGTACAGACAAGGGTTATTAGCCCATTCTTACCCGATAATTAGTGACAGAATACAACACGCATGGCTTACGAGAGGAACAGATTCTTTATTCCACTTCCCCATGATATAAAAGGAAAGTAATAAGAAACAAGACTAATTAGATAAAATCAAAGAAACTCAGATGAGTGTGTATAAAAAACGTGATACAAGTAGTGTAGTGTGATCTAAGTGTAAGTAGAAGTAAGCAAGAACATACTATAATCTTGCATATTTATGAAGACAAATCGAAAATCACCTCACAATCCTACGCACATGTAAACCAATTACATGCTCTCATTTTTACACTCACAAGGCCGGACGAAGTACCACCCTTGCGTGGTTGCGTCTACCACCCTACTGCCTAACTAAAAAAAGGCACAATCTCATTTTTTAGTTATTTTTTATTTTTTTTAACACAGGGTTTGAGACAAGTTAAGGAATCCCTTAGCTTTCTATGAGACAACTAATCTTACAGGTAAAGGAGTCGAACTTATATTGCAAGCTAAGATCTTTACCAACAACAGCTCATATATGAAGCATTATTATTGGTATGAGGACAACCAGTAGGGAACAGGGATGAAGTTGGAGCCATCTGTGGGCCAGCATTTCACTTAGATCAATTCAGATACAGGAGAGGGGAAACCCTATCTCGTTACGATCATTCATGCTATACAATGTGTTTCCATGCTCGAGTCAACCTGGGTATTATGATCTCAATGGAATAAGTTCTGGAGACAAGGGTACAGAGCCGGTGAAGTTTTGCTGCTTTCTGCCCTTTCATATGTGCATAACGGACATGCGTTCGACTGCTGTCCTCGCAGATGGATCCAAGTGTGGTATGTTTGACAATATTGGCCTTATACAATAATCATTAAGGGCCACCCACATCCCCCCTAAATAGTTGATCGGCTCTGACTGAAATGCAGATCGTATCCAGATGTGGTGTCGCCATGTGAGAGATGAAGACGTCTTGCTCTGTTCTCATCCTCTGTCACACAGAGTCGCAGATGGCAGGGGGGCCAGGTCACTCCAAGAAAGTTGGAGCATACTCTAGGTGTAGAGCGTACTTGTGGTGCCCACGTACAGGATCCTGCAACCCCTACTTGCAAGCAGATCGAGATAAGCGGCGAAAGAGTGGCTGTAAGCTTCTGGCTGCCTTGTTTGCAAGATTTACAACATGGTTCTTCATGGTTAGTTTGGAGTACAAATTTCACACACTCCCAAGGATATCAACATTCTTCACCAGGAGCCAACACCTCCATACTCATTGCACAAGCCAGTTTTGAGAGAGTACCTATAATTTTTTTTTGTGTTGCCACAAAGCTGGAACAGGAATAGTTTTTTTTATCACTCAGCGCGATCTTGATTGAAGAAGTTTACTTTCTTATTAAGAACATAAGAACAAAAGAAGTAGTAACACTGCAGAAGGCGACTGGCCCCTCGTGGCAGGTCCTTATCAAACACGACAGTCTCTACCTAAAGCTTACCCAAGAAATTACTCCTGTACCACCATGACAACCAATCAAACCCAGCCCCTCCCGACTCATATATAAGTCCAGTCTCTTCTTAAAGCTACCCAAGGTCCAGCCTCTATCACACCCCCACTGGGAATACTGTTATCCACATCGCCTCTACAACTCTGTTAAGAAAATACCATACTTAACTATGTCCTTTCTAAATCCTAAATTTATCCAAACTTAAATCCATTATTCCTGTTCTTACCTGGTTCGACAGCCCTCAGTTACTTTTATTAATGACTCCCTTAACTTTAGTGGCCGATCAGTCGCACTTAAGACTGCCTTCAAGGTTGACTATCTCCCCTCATTTCTAACGCCTCTCCAGAGGTGGAGATTTAAGGCTTTTAAGTCTAATCTTCATACTAGAGGTTCCTTACACAGTAAATCATTTAGTTCATTCTTCCTGTATGTTCTACATAATGAGTCCTATGACCGATGCCTGTAGTAAGGGGGATCCAAAACTGAGCAGCATAACTTCGGAAATGAGGCCCACTAGTGATGTAAAAGAGCTGTAAAATAACTTTTATGGACTTCTGTTAACTTATGACTATTCTTCTGCGATAAACCCCAAGTAATCTGTTGGCCTTGTTGCGCCAACTACTAAGCACTCGCTCTGTCCTCTGGCCTTTAGATTTCTTAGCTACTACCATGACTCCCAAGTTCTTTTTTCTGCACATTCTCTGTATGACCAATCTCTACCTTCACCTAGAATATAAGCGCGCTTCGAGGGTTATTTTCATTAGCCAAGGGCAATACCTTACACTTATCCACCATTAAGAACATCAATACTCCATTTTTCAGACCAAGAACATTATTATTGTTCAAATCGTCCTTGATTCATTGATATCCCCTCCTCAGAGTGAATATACGGCCTATCTCTTGAGTATCTGTCAGTCAAACTTACTCAATGTCATCTAGTAATCCTGTCATCCAAGGTCTATTGTAAATTATAACAGGAGAGGGCCTAAAAACTTATCCTTGTGGAATGCCACTAGAGACTACTCCCCATTCAGATTTCACTTCTCCATTAATTGTAACACTCTGGTTTCTATTGGTAAGCCAGCCTCAATCCATGCTCGAACTTTACCTCCTATACCATGAGCTGCTGCCACTATTTCTTACGAGTCTCTGTGAGTACTCTGTCGAAGGCTTTACCTAAAATCCAAATAAACAATATCATATTCCTTATCACTGTCAACTGCCTCAAATGTTCTATTGAAGAACGTCAGCAAGTTTGTCAGGCAGGAACGACCTCTCGTGAATCCATGCTGAGATTCATTTATCAAGTTATGCTCTTCAAGGTGACTTCTGATAATGTCAGCTATAATTGATTCTAATAACTTGCCCACTATAGATGTCAGGCTTATTGGACGGTAATTTGAAGGAGTGGACTTATCCCCTGATTTGAATATAGGAACCACATTAGCCAATCTTCCACAACTCTGGCACAACACTGGTAAGGATGGACGCATTGAATACACTCGTTAATGGCTGACTAAGCTCCATCTTGCATTCCTTAAGTACCCTTGAAAACAACTCATCGGGTCCCGGGGACTTATTTTGTTTCAGTTTGTCTATCTGTTTAATAACCATGTCCCTTGTGACAGTAATATTAGTTAACTTAAATTCATCAGGAACTAATAATTGTTAATTACTGGAATCTCATTTACATCTTCCTGTGTAAAAACTGACAAAAAATAGTCATTAAATAAGGAACACATTTCCAGTTCATTATCCGTCAGCTGTCCATTCCCAGTTTTCAGAGGTCCTACTTTTTCCTTCACCTTCTCCTATACACTTGAAAGAACCCCTTTGGATTAGTCTTTGATTCATTAGCACTCTAATTTCATAGTCACGTTTAGCCTTTCTAATCGCCTTTTTTACTTCTCTTTTAAGCTGAACATATTGGTCAGTAAGGTTAACCTCTCCTCTTCTGATGTGCCTATAAATTCCCCTTTTCTCCCCTAATAGATGCTTTAGCCTCCTGTTAACCCATTTGGGATCGTTATTATTAGACCTAATTTCTCTCTGGGGAATGTATATACTCTGGGCACTGTGTGCATTATTAAGAAAACAATCATAAAAGCAGATCCCTTCAAATTCATAAGTATGATTATCGTCCATAAAATCATTAGCTAGATAACCCCAATCAAGATTAGACAGATGTTCCCTAAGTCCATTATAATCGGCAGAACGAAAATCAGGGATTTTTACTGTATTATCATTATTCTTGCATTCCCAATTAATGCTAAAAGTGATGGATTTGTGATCACTTGCACCAAGCTCTTCAGTGATCTCCAGATTATTCACGAGTGTTTTCCTTATTTGACAAGACTAGGTCTAGCAAATTATTACCCCTGGTAGGCTCAGTTACGCTCTGTTTCAGAAAACAGTCCTGAACTGTTTCCATAAAGTAACTGGACTCTAGATTACCTGTCAAAGAATTCCAGTCAATTTGACTAAAGTTAAAGTCCCCTACTATGACTATGTTACTGTGTCCAGAAGCCCTAACAATTTCGTCCCAAAGAAGTCTCCCTCTATTGTGATTCAAGCCTGGAGGTCGGTATATTACACCTAGAATTAATTTTTCTTGACCCTCCACGAACTCTACCCAAACAGACTCTGTTACTGCTCCATCTATTTTTATACCTCTTTTTATGCAACAATTAATATTTTCTCGAACATACAATGCAACTCCTCCCCCCTTCCCATTAGATCTATCCACATTGAACAACTTAAATCCCTGAATATTACACTCAGCAGTCATATTCCAACTCTTTAAATCATACCACGTTTCAGTTAATGCAATGATATCAAAGTTCCCAGCACATGCTACCAAACGTAGTTCATTAATTTTATTTCTTGCACTTCGAGTGTTAGCATAAAATACCATCATATGTTTTTTCTTTGCACATTTTTCCTATTCATCTTTGTTTTTACACAATTTCTGAAATTATCATTACCCATCATTATTATGGCAGCTTTCATTGTGCCTCCACTCGTCATCCATATGAGTCAATGTGGACAGCTTTAAACTCTTTCTGATTAATGAGATATTTTAACTACTAAACTTAATCAAATCATAGTTACAAAATTTCTTATCTCAGTGTTTCCAGAGGTAAGGCTGACCATAATATTCAAATTTATTATTTTCTGCATATTTCTTGAAATGGTTTCTCTAGTCTAACTTTTGTTTCAATATCATGGGAAACATGTTTTAGAATCCTTCTTTGTTAACAACTGAACAGCAGCAACTAAAATGGCAAGAACAAAGGCTGCTTACCCCTTCTCTTAATTTTAGTAACTGTTGTGCTTACTGTTATTAGAATATTTTAAATGTAATTTACATTTTCTTTATAGAATTGCCCTGACACGTCGCAATTTCACCCTTTCGTACGACACTAACATTCCTCGACAAGTTGGCCTAGCTGGCAGCTCAGCCATTGTGACAGCAACACTCAAATGTCTTATGGCATTCTTCGATCTCACTGATCAAGATATGTCGAAAAACCTCCAACCTCAGTTTATTCTTGATGTTGAGAAAGACGAACTTCACATAAATGCCGGCCTCCAGGACAGAGTGGTGCAAGTACACAGTCACTAATGTTATTTGTTGAAAATAAATGGTATAAAATACCGACACAAAGGAAACATAAACACATATGCAGTTTAATGTGATCCTTTATTGACAATGTTTCGCCCACACAGTGGGCTTTTTCAAGTCACAAACAGATCTACCTGGAGTGGAAGGTACGTGAGTATTTATAGTCAGGTTCAGAATGTTGAGGTCAGGTGGAGAATGCTGCATCTGATGATCTACCGGGTGGGGTTATAGAGTTTAAAATCTTGGGTGGCTTGGCAGGGGTATTGGACAAGTTGTGAGCAGACCTTTTGCAGTGTTCTATGTTCTTATGTGGGATAGCGATGAAGAAGTTTCTTGGTAAGTGGTTCAGCTATGTTATAGAAGCCATTGTTCTGGTTGAAATTGTTGGTTATAGAGATAAGCGATGATTCCAGGATTCTTCGGTATTGAGTGTTGTCTTCTGTGGCAATAAGTCTTGAGTTTCTGTAGTTAATTAAATGGTTGTGTGAATTGCGATGTTGTACACAGGCATTCCTTGTATCGTCAGTCCTGCTTGCGTATTGGTGTTCTGAAATACGTGTTTGGAGGTCTCTTGATGTTTCGCCCACGTATAATTTGTTGCAGTCATTACAAGGGATTATGTATACCCCTGCAGAGGATGGAAGCTTGTCCTGTCTACTACTGGTGATGTCCTTGAAGGTCGTGGTCGTGGAGGTAGATACTTGGAATGATGTATTGGAAAAGATGTTGGAAACATGTTTGACAATGGAGTTGGTGGGGAGGACTATGTATCTCTTCTCAGCAGTGTTTTCTCTGGGTGTGTTGAAGATGTTTAATGCCCGCCGTCTGCAGTCTCTGATGAAGTGATGAGGATAGTGGAGTTTAGAAAATACTTGTTCAATTATAGTGCATTCTTCCTCAAGGAACTCATTGCTGCAGATTCTGAGTGCGTGCTGAAAGAAGCCTATAATTACACCACGTTTAGTTTTGGTGTCGTGGTGAGAGTAGAAGTGGAGAAGATCGTTTTGGTTGGTTGGTTTTCGATAGACTTTAAAACGAAGTTCATGGTCAGTTTTGCAGAGAAGAACATGAACTTCGTTTTAAAGTCTATCGAAAACCAACCAACCAAAACGATCTTCTCCACTTCTACTCTCACCACGACACCAAAACTAAACGTGGTGTAATTATAGGCTTCTTTCAGCACGCACTCAGAATCTGCAGCAATGAGTTCCTTGAGGAAGAATGCACTATAATTGAACAAGTATTTTCTAAACTCCACTATCCTCGTCACTTCATCAGAGACTGCAGACGGCGGGCATTAAACATCTTCAACACACCCAGAGAAAACACTGCCGAGAAGAGATACATAGTCCTCCCCACCAACTCCATTGCCAAACATGTTTCCAACATCTTTTCCAATACATCATTCCAAGTATCTACCTCCACGACCACGACCTTCAAGGACATCACCAGTAGTAGACAGGACAAGCTTCCATCCTCTGCAGGGGTATACATAATCCCTTGTAATGACTGGAACAAATTATACGTGGGCGAAAACATCAAGAGACCTCCAAACACGTATTTCAGAACACCAATACGCAAGCAGGACTGACGATACAAGGAATGCCTGTGTACAACATCGCAATTCACACAACCATTTAATTAACTACAGAAACTCAAGACTTATTGCCACAGAAGACAACACTCAATACCGAAGAATCCTGAAATCATCGCTTATTTCTATAACCAACAGTTTCAACCAGAACAATGGCTTCTATAACATAGCTGAACCACTTACCAAGAAACTTCTTCATCGCTATCCCACATAAGAACATAGAACGCTGCAAAAGGTCTGCTCACAACTTGTCCAATACCCCTGCCAAGCCACCCAAGATTTTAAACTCTATAACCCCACCCGGTAGATCATCAGATGCAGCATTCTCCATCTGACCTCAACATTCTGAACCTGACTATAAATACTCACATACCTTCCACCCCAGGTAGATCTGTTTGTGACTTGAAAAAGCCCACTGTGTGGGCGAAACATTGTCAATAAAGGATCACATTAAACTGCATATGTGTTTATGTTTCCAATGTTATTTGTTATCGTTTATCGGTTTTTCTTTGTAGTCAGCTCATAAATTAGGTTCAGATGTTTCTTTAGGTATATAAACTATATCTTCATTATCCTTGTTTATTTATTTTTTTGCACACCAGCCATCTTTCAACAAACCGGCTGTATCCCACCGAGGCAAGGTGTCCCAAAAAGAAAAACAAAAGTTTCTCTTTTTAAATTTAGTAATCTGCAGGAGAAAGGGTTACTAGCTCCTTGCTCCTGGCATTTTAATCTCTTCTTACAGCATGCATGGTTATCCCAGTTTATTGTACAAAATACAAGTAAGTTTGATTTGAGAATAGTGAATTTTTTACCTGTATTAGGTATTTCTGCTCAAGCAGATTATATATTAACCATCTTTCATTTCATTTTTTAGATGCAAGAAAAGTTTTTATGAATCATTGAGTATACTTTTTTTTACCACTTCCAAGACTGAAGTCAAGCTATCCAGTTTCCCTGAGTCCTTTCATAAATGTTACCTTATTTACACTCCAACAGCATGCCAAATCTCTAAAACTACTTGTATCCACTCTTCCTGATCTAAAATTCTCAGACATGCCAGCTGGAGGCTTACAGCCTCCAGCTGGCATGTCTGAGCATCCTCCCTCCAACCCTTCCTGGGATGACCCCTGTCCATTCTTCCTTCACTTCCTGAGTTATTCACCCTCTTGTTCTTCCAATTCCTATTATATTTTTTATTTTTTTAGCATATGGGCCATCTCCCACCAAGGTAGGTTGACCCAAAAAAGAAGAAACATTTCCACCATTGCTCACTCTATCGCTATTTTGCCAGAGGCATGCTGACTTTAGAACTCAGGTGCCTCACCAAACTGCAATATTCCCATCCCTCCTTCAGAGTACAGACAATGTACGTACCTCTCATATTTTATTTTCAGATACATGAGGGTTTGGTGTACATGGATTTCTCCAAGTCACTGATGGAAAGACAAGGTCACGGCAACTACAGTCACCTTGATGTTGCATTGCCATCATTTTTCCTTGCTTACCTCTCCAACCCCAGTGACTCTGGCAGAATGCACTCCGATGTGTCAGTACGCTGGAGAAAAGGTTTGAAACCTAACATATTTTGGTATAGCCAGTTTTGTCATGATCTCACACTGTTGAGATTGAAGCTTCATGATATAATCTCTTAACATTTTGCTGATTAGTGCTCAGTAAGATGGATAAATTGTATGCCATCTTTTCAGAGAGAAAATGTAGGAGATTATTTTCATTTGAGCTTTGAATATAAATGAATCTACATTTGTGAGATGATCTTAGTGACATATAGCTCAGTTTATGAAAAATGTACTATTTAAATTCCTATTAATTGATGTAGAATGCAAAGTTTTTATATATAAATTGTGCAGCTGGTCAACGTATGTTGCTGGGATGTTTATAGAGTTCTCTGACATGGTCTGTTTCAAGTTGTAACTGAATACAGTAATTCTCTTTACAGTGGACCCTCGACCAGCGATATTAATCCGTTCCAGAGAGCTCATCGTTAGATGAAATTATTGTTAGTTGAATTAATTTTTCCCATAAGAAATAATGGAAATCAAATTAATCCGTTTAAGACACCCAAAAGTATGAAAAAAAATATTTTTACCACATGTAATATACATTTTCCTACACACAAACAGAAGGATAGATGCACAATACATGTATGCATATGTATATTGTGTAATGAAGAATAAATGACACTTTACCTTTATTTTTAATTAAATCGTCATGCAACAGCCTTGCCTTTTCATATACGATCGCTTGAGAGATGCTTTCTCCTGATCTCTGTTTTTCGTTTCTCCACACCAATAACAATTTCTCAACATCTTCAACTACTTGCGATCTGTGTTTTGAAATACTTGCACCTTTCTGTTGGCCAAGATAGTAGCGATGGTTGACTGGGGTTTGTTATATGACCTGGCCAGCTCGGAGACACGCACTCCAGTTTCATACTTTGTGTTGATCTTCATTTCAATTGTAATTCTCACTCTTTTACCACAGGGTTGGCACTAGAAGCTTTCTTGGGGCCCATGGTGGCTTATTTTGCAGTTACAAGCACTAAAAACACTAGAATAATACAAAATGTACTGAATGTATGCATGGATGCGACCGCACTGGCTTGTAAACACTGGCACACTAACTGAAGGCAGGGCAGCTAAGGGGCGCTCAGGCCAGACGGGACATGTGGACGAGTTCGGGACGAATCATGTTGGTCGGGCCAAAATTTTTACGCTCAAACACTTCGTTAGTCGAATTTATCGTTAGACGATGCCTTCGATGGTCGGGGGTCCACTGTATTGGATTCAGAGTGCTCTTTATTGTAACTGATAATAGGCTGGTTGCCCCTGGGAGCACTACCATTGGGAAGTAAAAAGTAAGTCTCCCCTTTCTTAAATTTTTTTTGAGGTACTATTACAAAAAAATGCCAAATGATGAGCTACTGTTTTTTTTTTTTTTTTTAACACTCCAATCATCTTCTGCTAAGGTAGGGTGACCCGACAGAGAAAAAAAAAACACTTTCGGTGTCACTCATTCAGTCATTGTCTTGCCAGGAAGGCACCAACATCATAGTTCAGATGACTATCCAAACTGCAACATCTGAACTGTGATGTCATTGTTGTTGTATATGATACAATTTTATTTTCACAGCGATGGTTCAGTATGGTATTCTGTTAGAAAACTTTGCTGAGTCACTAAATTCTTGGGTAATGCAATGCTTTTCCTTTTCCTTTTTCTTGACAAATATTTGAAGGCATTTCAATACCCCCTTGTCTTTGGCCTTTTAAAAAAAGAGAAGTTCCTATATGGAATGAAGGTATAAGAGATAAAGATTAAAAAATTGTGTCTAAAACCATTTGTTTATTCCTGGATTTTGATTTAATTTGTAAGATTATTATACCCTTGAAGTTTTTATTATATTGTTTTCAAAGTATGTATTAATTTGGGTGTTATATTTCTTTATTTACAGGAGATTCAGAGGTAATAGAGGGTATGCAGAAATTTGCTGAGCTAACCGATCTTGCAGCCAAAGCATTCAAGATTGCAGACTGGAGTGCACTGGCATCTCTGATGAATGAGAACTTTGACTTAAGAAGGCAGTTATATGGTGATGTAGCTCTTGGTCAAGAAAATCTTAAAATGATTAATATTGGCAGAAGTTATGGTGCTGCTGTTAAGTTTCCAGGTAGTGGAGGAGCAGTTATTGGCTTCCTTCAGGATGAGTCTAAAAAGGTAATTAATACACTTTTTTTTTTTTTTCCAACAAGTCGGCCGTCTCCCACCGAGGCAGGGTGACCCAAAAAAGAAAGAAAATCCCCAAAAAGAAAATACTTTCATCATCATTCAACACTTTCACCACACTCACACATTATCACTGCTTTTGCAGAGGTGCTCAGAATACAACAGCTTAGAAGCATATACATGTACGTATAAAGATACACAACATATCCCTCCAAACTGCCAATATCCCAAACTCCTCCTTTAAAGTGCAGGCATTGTACTTCCCATTTCCAGGACTCAAGTCTGACTATATGAACATAACCGGTTTCCCTGAATCCCTTCACTAAATATTACCCTGCTCACACTCCAACAGATCGTCAGGTCCCAAGTATCATTCGCCTCCATTCACTCCTATCTAACACGCTCATGCACGCTTGCTGGAAGTCCAAGCCCCTCGCCCACAAAACCTCCTTTACCCCCTCTTTCCAACCCTTTCGAGGATGACCCCTACCCCTCCTTCCTTCCCCTATAGATTTATATGCTTTTCATGTCATTCTACTTTGATCCATTCTCTCTAAATGACCAAACCACCTCAACAACCCCTCTTCTGCCCTCTGACTAATGCTTTTATTAACTCCACACCTTCTCCTAATTTCCACACTCCAATTTTCTGCATAATATTTACACCATACATTGCCCTTAGACAGGACATCTCCACTGCCTCCAACCGTCTCCTCGCTGCTGCATTTACCACCCAAGCTTCACATCCATATAAGAGTGTTGGTACTACTATACTTTCATACATTCCCTTCTTTGCCTCCATAGATAACGTTTTTTGACTCCACATATACCTCAACGCACCACTCACCTTTTTTCCCTCATTTGCTATTATCCTGCCTCAGCACATTACCATCCCCCAAGATACAACAGGCAACTAATGACCAAGTTTTTATTTACTGCTAGGTGAAAAATGGCAAGTGTAAAGTGACTTGTGTGCAAAATATTTTACCATTGAACTACAAGTTTAGGGAGATGGAATGAAACAGTATAGGGAGAGTAAAGAAATACATGTGGAGGAAACAGGTAGATGTGGAAGATTAAGTATTATTAAGTATCTTAATCACATTGTATTGGATATGAAACACATTCAGCACATATCTAAGAAAATTTCCACAGCACCTAGGATTCTTTCTAGAATACTCGCTACTGTATACCACAATCAATACTAATTACTCTATACCACTTGTTAAGTTACCCTTACCTCACCTGTGGTATATGTACATGAGGATCTATAGATGCAAATCATCTAAAACAAATTATAACCCATCAAAAATCTCCCATTAGAACAATCGCTCAATCTGATTCCAGACTGCATACCCTCCTGTTATTCAAAGAATTGAGCTTCTAAATGTACAAGGTACCCACACATACATGTGCAGAACATTCGCTACAAATATTTTCCCTGAGATAAAAAAAAAGTTCGTGGGTAACTGCAACAGATCACATAGGCATAACACTTGATAGATGTCTGTTTTATATTCGGTGTATTGTCTGAGTAAACAATCCTTGCACATTGTGGAACCTAGAATTGGAAACAACCTACCTGAAGGATAAAAAAAAAAACTTACCCCCAACACTTTTAGCAGTACAGTATTGTCAAAAATCATTTCCTGAATTTGATGTAAAATGTTTTTATACAGCAGTCATAAACATCTAACTTATTCAGTTGCTTTCTTTCCATTGTAATTTAAATTGAGTTGATAATAGACATTGCATAAAATAGCCATAATTGTTGTATTAGTAAATATAATAAGATATAAAACTACCAATATCCTCAGACTATCACTTACAGCTTTCTAGTGCTTGCTTTGATTTATAGTGACTGCTTAAACACATCCATATGAAGACAATAAAACAGATATATTATGGTTTTAGGTATACACTGAAGCCTTCTTTATAAAACTAGAAAGTGTACAAGGGATTCAGTTTTTTTATAATGATCAGGTCACATTACCTAAGGCAGGTGCAACAAGAAGTAACTTAGGGCGTCACTAATTATAGTACTGTTTGGTTTCCACTAGCCTTGTGAAGTGTTGAAATTGGATCAGGGTGTTATTTACCAATGTCCAATGTAATACATTTCGTGTACATCATTGTCCAATTTTTATTAGTTTTTGTACCTATACTGATATGTCTTTACAAACTGGCATTTATTTTCAGGAGGAAATGCAACAACATTACCAAAGGGAAGGTTGTGTAATTGTGGATATTATTCCCAAGGAGCCGGCAGTAAAGCTACCATACCTTGACCCTTTTAAAGAACTAATGTAGGAAACCAGTTTCTGTTTGGTGTATGAATATGCAGCGAGGTCACCTTAATTGGGCATTGATAAAACATTGTGTAGTTACTATAATGCTATAATACAGATGGTTTTATTGAAGAGGCAGCTTCTATATTTGTTTGTAGTATTACACTTTAGTTGTCATATTTTTGTTCTCAGGTTTCATTTGAAGGTTAAAATGTGATTTCGTGTGAATGGTTAATTCAAGGAATTAGAGCTACTCTCCCTTGGATCAAACCTGATTACCTCTAATTGTGAGGAACTATGACCCCAGTGAGTTTAGTGCTTTCTTGGGAGTGATAATAATACATTTTTTTCTGATCATGAGAATCTTATCTGCATAAGAATACGTAAGTGCACTCATGGTGGGCAGCTCATTGCTTCACCGTTGATTGTTATCTACCCCTCAATGGAGGTTCCTTGATACTGGTGAGGGGCTCCTAATCTAAAGAATTGAACCTATGCTTCAATTTTTTGAATCGAACCTGAATGCCTTCCATTCCCCCAGGCACTGAATGACTCCTATGGGTTTAGTGCTTCTCCATAGGATTGTTATTTAGATTTTATTTATTGGATGAGAGTCAGCATTCACTCCACTGTTTAATGGACATTTAATATTTTTGTAAGTGTATTATAAATAAAACATAACCAATAGTGTCTAATTGTATTTCATTTAATTGCTTTGAATTCTTAACTTGATATGATTAAACTACAGAAAAAACATCATGATTAATGGTCAAAAAATTTTCGACAAATTTAGTATTTAGTGAAATCGGACAGAAATATACTTTTATTTTTACAAAAGATGGCAAGTATGATACTGTACTAATGATTTAATCAAAACTAAATGCTAAACCCACAACTAATGTACAGTGTTGTGTCAACCTTGACTTTTCTCTTTAGCACATGAACCTCCCTTTTTCCCTTTACACTTTTCACCCTGTCATCCACTCCTCTGCCATGTAGTGCTGAATGACCTGCAGTTTTTTTGTGACAATCACTGGTTAGCCAGTGCTCCTGGAGGTAGGAAGGGCAGCCTGCACTCTGATAGGGGCTGTTGCAGTTAGAGGGTCATCTAAATTATGATATCAGTTTCACTTCTTTGGGGAAAACTGAGTGAATTATGATGGTGAGTGTTTCCTTCTTTGAGTTACCCTCCTTGGTGAGAGATGGCCAGTAAGTTAAAAAAAAAAATTAAAAATGATGATACAATTCAAGAAAATTTAAACCCTTTAAAATACAGATAAATATTGCAATTCCCTTGATATCAAATACGTATTTGGGTTTTTTTTCATGTTTATTTTAAATAGTTTATTATGGGGTTTGCATGTGTGACAATACAAATTTTTATAACCGAGTTTCTATAATAAGTTGGGTGTGGGAGGGAAAGGGGTGACTGGTGGAGTGACGAGGTAAAGAGTGGTAAGGGAGAAAAGGTTAACATGAGGAGTACAAAAAAGTTTAGTCATGATGGAGTGTAAAAGGAGAGTAAATGAAAGAGGGAAGTTTTATTGAGAAATTTTGCTGAGAATAAAAAAAAAAGTTCTGGAATGAGATGAATATGGTGAGGAAGCCTAGGGGAAAAAATGGCTTTAACTGTAAAAACAAAAAAGAGGGGGGGTTATTAGCTGGGAAAGTGGGAAGTATTGGGAAGATGGTGGGACTCTTCTGAGGAGCTGTTAAATGTTGATAGAGAAAGGAAAGCAGGAGTTTCATGTACTGGCAGGGAGGTACAATATCTTTTAGGAGTGAGGAAGCCAGATGTGAATGTGGGAGAGGGGTGGGAGGCACTGGTTAAATGAAAGGGGGTAAAGGTTAAAGGAGACGAGATAGATGGGATCAAGACAAATGTTAAAAGCAGGTGGGGATATAGTCTTTGGGGTCTTTTCCTCCGTAAGCCATGCGTGTTGTAAAAGTCAACTAAAATGCCGGGAACAATGGGCTAGTAACCCCTTTTCCTGTAAAGATTACTAAAAAGAATAAGAAGAAGAAAATTGTCAAAGTGGGAAGTCTGAATGTGCGTGGATGTTGTGCAGATGATAAGAAAGAATGATTGGGATGTTTTGAATGAAAGAAGCGGATGTCCTGGCTTTTTAAGTGAAACAAGCTGAAGGGGGGGGAGAGTTTCAGTGGAGAGGAATAAATGGGATTAGGTCAGGGGTTTCAAATAAGAGTTAGAGCTAAAGAAGGAGTAGCAATAATGTTGAAGGATAAGCTATGGCAGGAAAAGAGGGACTATAAATGTATTAATTTAAGGATTATGTGGAGTAAAATAAAGATTGGATGTGAAAAGTGGGTTATAATAAGCGTGTATGCACCTGGAGAAGAGAGAAGTGTAGAGGAGGAGAGAGATTTTGGGAAATGTTGATGAATGCGTGGGGATTTTGAATCAAGTGTGAGAGTAATGGTGGTTGGGGATTTTAATGCTAAAGTGGGTAAAAATGTTATGGAGGGAGTAGTAGGTAAATTTGGGGTGCCAGGGGTAAATGTAAATGGGAGCCTTTAATTGAGCTATGTGTAGAAAGAAATTTGGTAATAAGTAATACATATTTTATGAAAAAGAGGATAAATAAATATACAAGGTATGATGTAGCACGTAATGAAAGTGTTTATTAGATTATGTATTGGTGGATAAAAGGTTGATGGGTAGGCTCCGGGATGAAACTGTTTAATAGAGGGGGCAACTGATATATCGGATCCATTATTTAGTTGTAGCTACAGTTAGAGTAAGAGGGAGATGGGAAAAGAGGGAAGTGGCAACAAAAAAGTAAGAGGGAGGTGAAAGTGTATAAACTAAGGGAGGAGAAGTTTTGGGTGAATATAAGCGACTATTGGGAGAAAGGGGGGCTTAGTGCAAAGATAGTAGTGGGGGTTGAAGAGGGTTGGGAAAAGTTTTAAAAAATGCAGTATTAGAATGTGGAGCAAATATTGTGGTTATGGAGGGTGGGGGCAGGAGGAAGAGGATGATTGTGGAATGATAAGTAAAGGTTGATAAAGAGAAAAAGTACTTATTAAGGTTTTTACAAAGCCAGAAGTGTTATAAAAAAAGCAGAGAATATGGGGAGTAAAAGAAAGGTAAAAATGGTGAGAGAGTGCAGAAGGAGAAACAGATGATAGAGTGGAGAGGACTGTCAAGAAATTTTAATGAAAATAAGAAAAAATTTTGGAGTGATTAAACAAGTTAAGAAAGCCTAGGGAAAATATGGATTTGTCCGTTAAAAACAGAGTAGGGAGTTAGTAATGGGGAGATGGAGGTATTGGGTAGAGGGCGAGAATATTTTGAGGAACTTTTATATGTTAAGGAAGAAACAGGGGCAGTAATTTCATGCACTGGTCGGGGAGGTATACCATCTTTTAGGAGTGAAGAAGAGCAGAATGTAAGTGTGGGGGGGTACGTGAGGCTTTACGTAAAATGAAAGGCCTTTAAAGCAGCTGGAACGATGGGATCATGACAAAATTTTAAAAAGCAGGGGGGGATATAGTGTTGGAGTGGTTGGTACTTTTGTTTAATAAATGTTAAAAGAGGGAAGGTACCTAGGGATTGGCAGAGGCATGTATATCCCTTATATAAAGGAAAGGGACAAAAGAGACTGTAAAAATTTTGAGGAATAAGTTTACTGAGTATACCAGGAAAAGTGTACGGTAGGTTATAATTGAAAGAATTAGAGTAAGACAGAATTAGGATTGCGGATGAGCAAGGGGGTTTTAGAGTGGGTAGGGGATGTGTAGATCAGGTGTTTACATTGAAGCATATATGTGAACATATTTAGATAAAGAAAGGGAAGTTTTTTGCATTTATGGATTAAAAAAGGGCATATGATAGAGTGGTTTAGAGGAGCAATGTGGCAGATGTTGCAAGTATATGGAATAGTGGAAGTTATTAAATGCTGTAAAGATTTTTTATGAGGATAGTGAGGCTCGGGTTAGGGTGTGTAGAAGAGAGGGAGACTACTTCCCCCGGTAAAAGTAGGTCTTAGACGGGGATGTGTAATGTCACCATGGGTTGTTTAATATATTTATAGATGGGGTTGAAAAGGAAGTAAATGCTAGGGTGTTTGGGAGGGGGGTGGGATTAAATTTATGGGGAATCAAATTCAAAATGGGAATTGACACAGTTACTTTTTGCTGATGATACTGTGCTTATGGGAGATTCTAAAAGAAAAATTGCAAAGGTTAGTGGATGATTTGGGAATGTGTGTAAAAAGGGAGAAAGTTGAAAGTGAACATAGAAAAGAGTAAGGTGAGAGGGTGTCAAATGATTTAGATAAAGAAAAATTGGATATCAAATTGGGGAGGAGGAGTATGGAAGAAGTGGAATGTTTTCAGATACTTGGGAGTTGACGTGTCGGCGGATGGATTTATGAAGGATGAGGTTAATCATAGAATTGATGAGGGAAAAAAGGGGAGTGGTGCGTTGAGGTATATGTGGAGTCAAAAAACGTTATCTATGGAGGCAAAGAAGGGGAATGTAGAAAGTATAGTAGTACCAACACTCTTTTATGGGTGTGAAGCTTGGGTGGTAAATGCAAACAGCGAGGAGACGGTTGGAGGCAGCGGAGAATGTCCTGTTTAAGGGCAATGTGTGGTGTAAATATTATGCAGAAAATTCGGAGTGTGGAAAATTTGGAGAAGTGTGGAGTTAATAAAAGTATTAGTCAGAGAGCAGAAAAAGGGGTTGTTGAGGTGGTTTGGTCATTTAGAGAGAATGGATACAGTGAATGACATGGAAAGCATATAAATCTATAGGGGAAGGAAGGCGGGGTAGGGTCGTTTCCCCGAAAGGGTTGGAGATGGGGTAAGGAGGTTTTGTGGGTAAGGGGCTTGGACTTCCAGCAAGCGTGCGTGAGCGTGTTAGATAGGAGTGAATGGAGACGAATGGTACTTGGGACCTGACGATCTGTTGGAGTGTGAGCAGGGTAATATTTATGTGAAGGGATTCAGGGAAACCGGTTATTTTCATATAGTCGGACTTGAGTCCTGGAAATGGGAAGTACAATGCCTGCACTTTAAAGGAGGGGTTTGGGATATTGGCAGTTTGGAGGGATATGTTGTGTATCTTTATATGTGTATGCTTCTAGACTGTTGTATTCTGAGCACCTCTGCAAAAACAGTGATAATGTGCGAGTGTGGTGAAAGTGTTGAATGATGATGAAAGTATTTTCTTTTTGGGGATTTTCTTTCTTTTTTGGGTCACCCTGCCTCGGTGGGAGACGGCCGACTTGTTGAAAAAAAAAAAAAAAAAAAAAAAAAAAAAAAATGTATGAGAGGGAAAATAGTACCTATGGCTTGACAGAGAGTGTGCATAGTTCCTTTGTATAAGGGGAAAAAGCGGATAAAACAAATTGTAAGAATTAGAAGGTAATAAGCCTATTGAGTACACCAGATAAAGTGTGTGGTAGAGTTATTAATGAAAGAATTAAGGATTAAACAGAGAATATAATTACAGATGAACAAGGAGGCTTTAGGAAGGGTTTGGGATGTATAGACAAAGTGTTTACATTGCATGTAAGTGAGCAATACTTAGATAAATATAAGGAGGTTTTTGTTGCATTTATAGATTTAGAAAAAGCTTATGATAGGGGGCAATGTGGCAGATGTTGCAAGTGTATGGAATAGATAGTAGTTTACTTAAAGCAACTAAGAGTTTTTGAGGATAGTGGGGCTCTGGTTGGGGTGCGTAGGAGAGAGGGAGATTATTTTCTAGTAAAAGAAGGCCTTAGACAGGAATGTGTGATGTCACCATGTATCAGAGATCAGTGGTACCAGCACTTTTATTGGTGTGAATCATAGGTTTTAAACATTGCAGTGGGAAAGAAGCTGGAGGCAGTAGAGATGTCATATCTGAGGGTAATGTGTAGTCTGACCATTATGCAAAAAAATTGTAGTTTAGAAAGTAGGAGGTGTAGAGGTATTCAAAGCATTATCCAGAAGGCTGAGAAGGGGTTGTTGAGGTAGTATGGACAGTTAAAGAGTATGGAGCGAAATAGAATGTCGAAGAGGGTACCGCAATCCGAAGTGGAGGGAAGTAGGGGTAGGAGTCGTCCTAAGGAAGATTGGAGGGAGGGGGTAAAGGAAGTTTTGTGTGCAAGAGGCTTGAACATTCAGCAGGTATATGTGAGTTTGGTAGCTAGGAGTGAGTGGAGGCAAGTGGATTTCATAGGCTGACATGCTGTTGGAGTGTGAGCAAGGTAACATTTATGGAGATTCAGGAAAACCGGTTAGCCAGACTTGAGTTCTGGAGATGAGAAGTCCAGTGCCTGCACTCTGAAGGAAGGGTGGGAATGTTGCAGTTTGGAGGGGTATCTGATCTGTAATGCCAGAACACCATTGGCAAGACTGTAACAGAATAATGATCAAAGTGTTTCTTCTTTTCGGGTCATACTACTATGGTGGGGGGAGACGGCCAACATGTTAAAAAATATATTAATTTTAATATCGTTATTATTACCACTATAACAGGAAATGCAGGTTAATAAAAGTTATAAGACTTTTCTTGTTTTATACTTGGGTAAAAAGTAAATTATTTCATAACATTAATGTATTTAAAATGCCACAGTTTTAGGTATGCCATAGCATACTGTACTAAGTCAGTAATATTTACTATGTCTCCTGATGTAATTAGTGGATGTACAGTGCATTTGTATATAATTTAATACATGTACCTTCATAAATTTGATATACTAATAAAACTAAGAAACTTTAATGAACAGGAAATACAGCAGTGAGTAATTATTAAACAGATTTTTGTTAATAAACTATGAAGCAATATGCCATACAAACTGTTTCTCATAACGTATAAGTTAAATAGAATGAGTTTTAGTGAACACATCTACTGCTGTTTAAAATACTGAGATGTTGCACATGTGTTCATCAGAAATCTACACAAGGTCTGTTACATCAAATAATTTCATGTTTGGGTTTACCAGGGTGGAGATGGACCTCGGAAGGAGCGGTTGCGGAGATTATAGAAATCTGGTTCATATATGCTTTGAAGGGCTGCAGGAGACTAATAGTCATATGAATAAATGTCTGAGTCAAAATAGTCTGGTTCATCGTAGGAAGTCAGGTATTTAGTTCTGAAATTAGGGCTACTAGGGAACTGGTAGCGAGGGTACTGTAGACGACTGTTTCTATATGATGACAGAGCGAAAGGGTTATAATTTGGAGTGTAAGGCATTTCTATTGGGTATATCTCAATGTCATATTGTGACTGAGGTAGATTAAACTTATCGAATGTCATTGGCATGTTTGAGGGTCTGATTTTATAAGAGGTCTCGCTTTCTTCTGGTTCATTGTCGATGTAGGATAATTCATAATTCTCGAATGGATCTTGTACAAACCTTTGCAGTCTCGCTGAGGCCTCTGGATAAAAGTTTTGCTGCATGAGTCTGTTTTGTGGCATGAAAGTTCGCTCAAGAGTGTTGAAGTTTGGCTCTGACATTCTTGGTTGCATAGATCTGCTAATTGATTTACCATAACTGACTGATCTAGGATAGTCTTCTTGTGGGAACATCTTATAACTGAAAGGCTGTGGTTTGAATGTGTCAAAATTTTTTAGAATGTTTTGGAACGCTGAGGCTTGGCCATAGTTTCTCTGAAAGTTGTCGGGTGCTTGGTAAATATCAAAGTCTTCGTTAAATCTTCCTTGGTTAGGTTCAAAGGTATTATCACCTGACCTGAAAGAAATGGGAGGAAATCTTGAGTTCATTAAGTAAGGTGCTCGCTGAGGAATCTCAGGTTGGATAGGAAATTGAGAAAACATGTTCTCTCTCTTCATATACATATTTGGTGTTTGTTCAGGAAGCTCAGGCAGGGTGGAAAGTAGAGGAGACATGTTTTCTCTAATTATATTAATCTTGGGTGTTTGCTGATGAAGCTTTGATTGGGTAGGAAACAGAGGCATGGTATTTCCTAATATATACATGTCTGATTCTTGCTGAAGACTCTTAGATTGAGGTGGAAACTGAAATGGCATGTTATCTCTTATGTGCATAATTTGATCATCTTGAAGGCCCTCAGGTTGGGTAGGAAACTCTGGAGGCATGTTATGGGCTATTGTGTACATGTTTACTTCTTGAGGCTCTTCCATGATAGGCAACTGATGCTGATCAAATTGGGGTTGAATTTGTTGCTCAATGGATGGTAAGAAGTTGAGATTCTCTCTCCACTGAGGATGGAATATCTTAAACATTTGAGGGATTTCATCGTCATTAGGGGAGCTGATTGGAAGAATATTGTCGTGAAGGGTCCAACGCTGCTGTTGGTTTACAGCAATGGGGGTGGCATACTTTTCTGCTGGAAACTCAGCAATTGGCAGTGGCCGTTCCTCGGTAATGATTTGCTCTCCATTAGTTGCTATGACAGGAATCATGTCGTCTTCAGAGTTTTGTTGTGGGTTACTCATTACAATGATTTCCACACCATTATCAGTGTCACTGGAATCTCCATCTTCCATCTTTATCTGTTCTCTCATGTCTGCTATTGGTCCAGAATTGCTTTCTATTACTAAATCTGGGATCACACTGTTTTGAAATGTACTCTCTGCAAATTCTTCTTCACCTGGGCGTCCTTGCATGACTTGGTCTAGTAATGTGGGAACAGGCAATGGGTTGCTGGCAAACTGAGCATCAGTGCTTTCACTTTTATAGTTTTCTTCACCTGGCATGAAAGGCTGCATTTCAGGGACACCAGCTGATAGATCTGAGGCCAGATTTTCAGGTGTGTAAAAGTCTCCTTCATTAATGTTCTGTGGGAAAACTGCAATTGGCTCTTCAGGTAAATTAAGTTCTTCTGCAGGGAGTGTTTCCTCATGAGCCAATTCTTCCGTCAGAGGAACAGTCTCTTCTATGTGAGGTGCCATTTCCTCAGGAGAAAAATCTCCGGGCATCATCCCGAAGGGGGTTTCATCAGCTGTAGGCTCTTCATGTGTTTCTCTCTCAAAGCTTGGAATGAAAAAGTTTGCAAGCGACACCTCTTCCCTAAAAATTGGCTCATATGAAAACTCTGTCACCAGTGGATAATCATTATTTGGCGCCAAGGGTGCTTTAGTTTCATCTATGGGATTTTCCTCTTCCACCATTACAATGACATCTTCATCGACTGGCAATGTGTCCCCTTCTACAGGAATAAGATCAGAAGGGACTTCCTCATTATCACCGGCAGGGGTATTAGGAAAATATTCCCCTCTCTCGTCTTGTTCTTCAACATTGGCTGACATTTCTGGAGAAAATTCATAACTGTAAGTTTCGTCCGCTGGCTGTACCAACTCAGTGTTGGGATGGATGTATTCTTGTGGAAGATCTTCTGTGACCACTTCTCCTGCACTTGGACTATCGTTACTGTTAAAGCTGGGAACAAATAAGCGGAATATGTCTTGTGCCATCTCTTCCAGTGTGCCACGGACTATTGGGCTGTCAACTCCTACATAATCTTCCGTAAAACCTCCCATCTCTTGCTCAGCTTTATCTACCATAGGCAGTTCAAACTTTGTGTCATGCCCAACTGTAACAAATCCTGAATCACCCTTGAGCAATGGGTTCCCTTCAAATGGCTCTAGGGGAAACAGTCCTACATCAGGTTGTGGTTCCACTTGTGGTTCTGAGTCGACATTTATCTGTTCGATTTGTGGTTCTGGGTCATCATTTACCTGTTCTACTTTTGGTTCTGTTGTTTACCTGTGGTTGTGTCTCACTAGTTTTCTCTGCCTCTGGGCCAGATTCTGCTTCAGCTTGAGGTTGCTCTGCCTTGCTCACTTGCTCTTCCCCAACAGTAGACACCTGATCTTGGTCTGGCAGAGCTGATGATGCTAAATCTTGAAGGCTTGACTCCACCTCTTCATCAGGTTGAACCTTCCCTTCACCATCGATGTTGTTGTCCTCTGCCTTAGCACTGAGGATCAGTTGTTGTATGTCTGGCTCGCTGGTCGTGGGTAGTGTGGGGATCGCCCCCACCACTGCTAGCCCCACCAGTAGTAATATCTGAAACAAATGAAAAAATGACACATTAGTTTGTATACTCTTTTAGTACGTAAAATACTGGCAAATGTGATACATACACACAGCAAACATGAAAGGCAAAAGTGTCCATGGAGTTCATTTATTTATATTCGCAGTGTATCCAAATAATAATAATAATAATAATAATAATAATAATAATAATATTGAGGTATGTATGCCTCACTGACCTCCAGAAGAACACAACATAATAAGCGAGGCCAAATAAAGAAATATGACTGTTAGGTTTTTATTTTTTAGTACAGACCTTGAGAATGACTGAGTGAGAATTGAGTGCATCGTCACACTGGCTCTGGGAACAAGAAATAAAAACCGGAACTTGAGTAAAAACCCTTGCTTAATTTGAGGGAACTTTTTAAGCTGGCACTTCTCAGAATGCTCATGATTTGAGGAACCGGAGTTACCTTCCTCTTCCTTGGATCAAATATGCTTTTTTCCTCATTCCCCAGGTGATGTGTGACCCCCCTACAGGTTTAGTGCTCCCTCGTAACCCCCTCCCCCTTTATGAATTGACTATGTGCACACATACACACACACACACACACACACACACACACACACACACACACACACACACACACACACACACACACACACACACATACACACACACATAAGCGAAGAGGCGCTGCCAGGAGCTGTGAATCGAACTCCGCTACCACAGATAAGTGAGTACACACACAGAGACACAAAAACACAGTGATGTGTGTACTCACCTATTTGTACTCACCTATTTGTGGTTGCAGGGGTCATGTGTATGTATATGTGTATGTGTGTGTGTGTGTGTGTGTGTGTGTGTGTGTGTGTGTGTGTGTGTGTGTGTGTGTGTGTGTGTGTGTGTGTGTACTCACCTAATTGTGGTTGCTAGTGTTGTGGCTAGTGTCCCACCCATCCCTGTGTGTGTGTGTGTGTGTGTGTGTGTGTGTGTACTCACCTATTTGTACCCACCTATTTGTGGTTGCAGGGGTCGAGTCACAGCTCCTGGCCCCGCCTCTTCGCTGATTGCTACTAGGTCCTCTCTCTCCCTGCCCCATGAGCTCTATCATACCTCGCCTTAAAACTATGTATGGTTCCTGCCTCCACTACATCCCTTTCTAGGCTATTCCATGGCCTGACTACTCTATGACTGAAGAAATACTTCCTAACATCCCTTTGATTCATCTGAGTCTTCAACTTCCAATTGTGACCTCTTGTGTCTGTGTCCCATCTCTGGAACAACCCGTCTTTGTCCACCTTGTCTATTCCGCGCAGTATTTTATATGTCGTTATCATGTCTCCCCTGACCCTCCTGTCCTCCAGTGTCGTCAGGCCGATTTCCCTCAACCTTTCTTCGTAGGACAATCCCCGTAGCTCTGGGACTAGTCTTGTTGCAAACCTTTGCACTTTCTCTAATTTCTTGACGTGCTTGACTAGGTGTGGATTCCAAACTGGTGCTGCATACTCCAGTATGGCCTGACATAGATGGTATACAGAGTCTTGAACGAATCCTTACTAAGGAATCGGAACGCTATCCGTAGGTTTGCCAGGCGCCCGTATGCTGCAGCAGTTATCTGATTGATGTGTGCCTCAGGAGATATGCTCGGTGTGTGTGTGTGTATGTGTGCGTGCGCGCGTGTGTGTGTGTGTGTGTGTAATGCAGGAGTCATCATCTTCCCATAAAAAACGAACTTCCTCTCAAGAAAGCGGGAAAAAATAAGTGTTGCCGGAGGTAAGACCACGTAAGCCAGTTCCTGCTTGGACGTGTTGGCCACCCGTGTCCCATCCACCCCTGGCTAGTGGACCACTCACCCTGGCTAGTGTCCCACCCACACCTGGCTAGTGTCCCACCCACCCTGGCTAGTGTCCCACCCACCCCTGGCTAGTGTCCCACCCATCCCTGGCTAGTGAACCACCCACCCTGGCTAGTGTCCCACCCACACCTGGCTAGTGTCCCACCCACCCCTGGCTAGTGGACCACCCACCCTGGTTAGTGTCCCACCCATCCCTGGCTAGTGTTCCACCCACCCCTGGCTAGTGGACCACCCACCCTGGCTAGTGTCCCACCCACCCCTGGCTAGTGTCCCACCCACCCTGGCTAGTGTCCCACCCACCCCTGGCTAGTGTCCCACCCACCCCTGGCTAGTGGACCACCCACCCTGGCTAGTGTCCCACCCACGCCTGGCTAGTGTCCCACCCACCCCTGGCTAGTGGACCACCCACCCTGGCTAGTGGACCACCCACCCCTGGCTAGTGTCCCACCCACCTCTGGCTAGTGGACCACCCACCCTGGCTAGTGTCCCACCCACCCCTGGCTAGTGTCCCACCCACCCCTGGCTAGTGGACCACCCACCCTGGCTAGTGGGCCACCCACCCCTGGCTAGTGTCCCACCCACCCCTGGCTAGTGGACCACCAACCCTGGCTAGTGGACCACCCACCCCTGGCTAGTGTCCCACCCACCCCTGGCTAGTGGACCACCCACCCTGGCTAGTGGACCACCCACCCTGGCTAGTGGACCACCCACCCTGGCTAGTGGACCACCCACCCCTGGCTAGTGGACCACCCACCCTGGCTAGTGGACCACCCACCCTGGCTAGTGGACCACCCACCCTGGCTAGTGGACCACCCACCCCTGGCTAGTGGACCAGTCTCCATGACTCGCCCTTATGTGCTATGGACGTGCATGGTTGGTCTAGTGGACCAGTGCCAACTAGTCTAGATGACGTGGTCTAACTAGTCTACATGACGTGTCCTACTAGTCTAATGACGTGGTCTAATTAGTCTAGATGACGTGGTCTAACTAGTCTAGATGACGTGGTCTAACTAGTCTAGATGACGTGGTCTAACTAGTCTAGATGACGTGGTCTAACTAGTCTAGATGACGTGGTCTAACTAGTCTAGATGACGTGGTCTAACTAGTCTAGATGACGTGGTCTAACTAGTCTAGATGACGTGGTCTTGCTAGATAATTTTAGCTTAGGAGTCGGTAGCTTTGACTATGTTTTCGTAGATTTATTTTATGTAAGTGAAGTTAGAAATAATTTATGATTAACTAGAATTGCTTTTATTAACATATCTTTGCGAGAGTAATAATAATAATAATAATAATAATAATAATAATAATAATAATAATAATAATAATCTTTATTTCTACAAGGTATACAGTTCTAGCTGACATCAATAACATACTACTATACAGAAAGCCGCTTGTTATGCTGAGTATTTCGGGCAAATTAGGTCAATTTTGTCCCAGGATGCGACCCACACCAGTCCTAATGTTTCCACCTGTACCGGGAATCGAACCCCAGACCTCAGTGTGTGAGCTGAGTGCGCTACCAGCCGAGTTACGTTAGGGTAGGCCAACACTTGATAAGACAAGCATTTAATGTAAAGTTGCGAGAGCTTACGTTAGATTAGGCTTTGCTTTGATTAAATAAGAAATTCACACCGTGAAGCGTCCGGCAGGTGTTGCTTCAGCAAGTCAGGCAAACAGGGACAGAACAGAACACGTTATGACTGTAAAGTCATGGACTCTGGCACTCTTCCAGGGAGACTCAGTGTTGAGGTTACACCTGAGCTACGCAGGTTGAGAGCCTTGCAGGTGGTTGATGGGAGCTTGAGGCTAGCGCGTTGAGGTGGCCTAGGCAGCAGGTTGATGGTGGAGCCTTGAGGTTAGCAGGTTGATGGTGAGCCTTGAGGTTAGCAGGTTGATGGTGGAGCCTTGAGGTTAGCAGGTGATGTGGAGCCTGAGGCTAGCAGGTTATGGGAGCCTTGAGGCTAGCAGGTTGATGGTGGAGCCTTGAGGTTAGCAGGTTGATGGTGGAGCCTTGAGGTTAGCAGGTTGATGGTGGAGCCTTGAGGTTAGCAGGTTGATGGTGGAGCCTTGAGGTTAGCAGGTTGATGGTGGAGCCTTGAGGTTAGCAGGTTGATGTGGAGCTTGAGGTTAGCAGGTTGATGGTGGAGCCTTGAGGCTAGCAGGTTGATGGTGGAGCCTTGAGGCTAGCAGGTTGATGGTGGAGCCTTGAGGCTAGCAGGTTGATGGTGGAGCCTTGAGGCTAGCAGGTTGATGGTGGAGCCTTGAGGTTAGCAGGTTGATGGTGGAGCCTTGAGGTTAGCAGGTTGATGGTGGGGCCTTGAGGCTAGCAGGTTGATGGTGGAGCCTTGAGGTTAGCAGGTTGATGGTGGAGCCTTGAGGCTAGCAGGTTGATGGTGGAGCCTTGAGGCTAGCAGGTTGATGGTGGAGCCTTGAGGTTAGCAGGTTGATGGTGGAGCCTTGAGGCTAGCAGGCTGATGGTGGAGCCTTGAGGCTAGCAGGTTGATGGTGGAGCCTTGAGGCTAGCAGGTTGATGGTGGAGCCTTGAGGCTAGCAGGTTGATGGTCGAGCCATGAGGGTATCAGGTTGATGGTGGAGCCTTGAGGCTAGCAGGTTCATGGTGAAACCCTGAGGCTATCAGGTTGATGGTGAAACCTTGAGGCTAGCAGGCTGATGGTGGAGCCTTGAGGTTAGCAGGCTGATGGTGGAGCTTTGAGGGCAGCAGGTTGATGGTGGAGCCTTGAGGCTAGCAGGTTCATGGTGAAACCTTCAGGCTATCAGGTTGATGGTGAACCTTGAGGCTAGGTTGAGGCTGAAACTTGAGGCTAGCAGGTGATGGTGGAGCCTTGAGGTTAGCAGGCTGATGGTGGAGCCTTGAGGCTAGCAGGCTGATGGTGGAGCCTTGAGGCTAGCAGGTTGATGGTGTAGCCTTGTGGTTAGCAGGCTGATGGTGGAGCCTTGAGGTTAGCAGGTTGATGGTGGAGCCTTGAGGCTAGCAGGCTGATGGTGGAGCCTTGAGGTTAGCAGGTTGATGGTGGAGCCTTGAGGCTAGCAGGCTGATGGTGGAGCCTTGAGGTTAGCAGGCTGATGGTGGAGCCTTGAGGTTAGCAGGCTGATGGTGGAGCCTTGAGGCTAGCAGGTTGATGGTGTAGCCTTGTGGTTAGCAGGCTGATG